GCATCATTGAAGGTTTTTTGTAAAGGAAGATGCGTTATGTGTTATCTGGAAGGAAAGGTAAACCTAAGAGGTGATCCAGCTTATACACCTCTCTTGGAGAGTGCCATAATGCCAGTCTGAGACCAGAACCTGTGACCTGATACGTCTCTTACCTGGTTCTTGTAGAAAGTATGCTTGAGTGAGAACGATTCTATTGCAGGAAACCCCAACGAGTTAAGGTGGCTTGTGCCACTGTCATTGGATTCAGAACAATATCTTCTAGAATACCGGATAACAGCTCTATTTTTACAGCCGAAGCAAACGCCATATTAACAGCTCTTAAATATATTCAAAGACACCCTAAACATAAAAAATATATAATCTTTTCTGACTCTCTTTCTTGCCGTCAGGCTATAAACATCTTTCGTGTAAACATCTACTTTTGATAGAAATTATTGAATTATATAATGAGCTTGCTACTGGCCAATACGACATCGTCTTTTGTTGGTTACCCAGCCATGTTGGCATTTCTGGGAATACAATGGCCGATCATCTTGTTGCCAAGGCAGCACTCAACCAATCTGTGACACCACTTCTTATTCCATACTCTGATTATAAAGCCGTCATCAGATGTTATATCCGCAATCTGATGCAGAAGAAGTGGGACACTCAAATGGGACTTAATAAATTACATGCAATAAAACCTTATGTTGGTTATACCTACTTGGGTTGTCAGTTCAGATTTGAAGAGGTCATCATACGACGATGTCGTATTGGCCATACTAGATATACTCATGAATACCTGTTAAAAGGTGAGGATCCTCCGTTTTGCATCCCTTGTGATGAAAGAATCACGGTCAAGCATGTCCTGCTTGACTATATTCAATATTCCATCACAAGGGATAACTATTTCAAATCACGAACCATGAAGGATCTTTTTTATAATATCAGTTCTCATTTAGTTATTGCATTTTTAAAAGAATAAGATTTGTTGAATGAATTGTAAATAGATACATATTTTAAAATTGGTAGTTCAGTTGAGCAGCTGAGATTGTTAGTGGCTGTATCCTCACAGGGGGTTGAAGCATTGTATAATTATTGTCCTCCTGTGGGGGTACGTAAGTCCCAAAACATTCAAAGTAAATTTAAACATACCATTATTTTTAAGCGTAGAATATGTGTTATTTTAACTTATGGCTAACTTGTCTAAACTTGCTGACAGCTGAAGGGATGGTGTAAATCCAGCTAGGGTCCATGCAGGAAGCAAATGTACTGTAAGTCCCCATGGTCCCTAGTCTGGTGATCTACCTTCAGTCGTTAGCAATTTACAGCCTGTTTTTATATTGTATTGTCATTTATAGTTCCAATATTTTAGATTTAATTGCTAGTTTTAAATGGATATCTGTGATACACTAGTAGTTTTACTGTTCTTCGTCAACAGAGTTTTTAATTTCTAACTTTATTCATCTTTTATATAATTATAAAAGGTTCTCGTCACGATATGGGTGAAATATTGCCGATGTGACGATAAATATTAACTCACTCACTCACTCACCCAACGAGTTAACTTGTTTCCCCTTTATTGTTTTAGTGTACGAAAACTGTACTGCAAGCTGTATGTTGGAGTATTGGTGACAAGGGGTGTGCGTTGTCCAAGACAAGAATGCGACTCACATAATTTCATTTCAAGCTTCAGTGAAACAATATCAGATATGTCTTTGGGGTGATTTGAAACATTTTGTCGCATTATTTATATGCAGGCAATTATGGGATGTCTAGGTTATGTGTACCTCAGCAGCTGATGAAGAGTACCATGAACTTGGTTTGTTGTTGAACAACGAGAAGCTTTTAACATTGCACATACTAGTACTGTTGTCATGAACAATCACTCATCCATCTTGTCAACTGTAAGGTGAGTAAGCCCTGGAACCGCTATTTGTCGTGAAGCCAGGTGTTTGGTAATATGCAGGCAATTATGGGATGTTTAGATCTTACGCATATTTGATATTACTTCTGTTCATCGGGACGTGTTGATTGCTAAGTCTTGGCTGACATAGATTCCAGAGGAGTCGAACAGATATTCGAACTTAACGATACTCTGATTGAGAATGTACACACACTTGTTAATGATGCATATGCTGGACATACAATGACACATTTTATTTAAAAAGAATGATGTTGCTCTGAATACCTGAATAGTTTTCATATGAATATTTATGCATACATACTGAATTCGAAGATGAATAAAATATATAGAATGTAAACACCAATTAAGTTCTCTTTTGTTGCATCAGAATAGACCAAGGTATATGACGTGAAACAGATGCTTGAACCTGAGCTTCTCCTGCATTCAGCAACAGTGAGTCTGATTTAACGCCGCTTTGTACATGATTTACCTTACATCATATTGCGTCAGCTTAATGTAGGCCTGATCACCCGTGAAACCTGTGCTGAGAAGATTTGAAGAAGGTAAAAAGAAAGTATACATTTGAACATGGATTAAAAACGTGACAAAACTAGGCTGTGAAATTTGCTGAAACACTGCACACTTTAGGTCCAAACTAAGTCTAAGTCAAATTACCTCTTTGTTTGGTTATAGCTGCCATCAAACGTTGACATTTTGGACACTGTTTCAATGATCAATGTCTCCCAGTTATCATTAATGGAGTCAGGTTGAACGTTTGCTATAGTTGAACATCATCGAGAGTCTGACATGTCTTTTGGGGGCTTCCAACTATGTACATAATATGAAGTATGAGATTTTATGGAGTGAGGACCAAAGATAATATGGAGGTGGTAAGAAACGCCAGTTACCTCACACAAAGTGAAAGTCAATTCCTAATTTAAAAGCCCAAAAACGCTCGTAGGCAGCTGGGGTTGTTTGTTACCAGGGATAGTAAAATCGTCAAAATGTGCATGATTGTATCTGAGTCAGCCATAGTTCACATTATGTTCAAGAACAGATAAGTGTAAAAATCTGTATAAATAGTGCAGAATGAAAAGATGGGCCTATACAATCGAACTTTACAAATATAAAATGAACCAATCCCATTGACCGTAAGACCCAAAGAAATCTCTGCCAAAGGCAGACACCACTGCACGATTCTGAACAAGCAGTCATGTCCGCCACAATTTGTCTAACTATCATTCCCGGCAAGTCAGCCATCTCAGAATAATACACACCTTCTTCTGTTTCATCTGTTGTCATGTGACCCGATGTCACTGAGTCGTTTCAACTCACGCAATGCAGTATTGTCATTTTAGGAGTGAGTGAGTATGGTTTTACGCCGCTTTTAGCAATATTCCATTAACATCACGGCGGGGGACACCAGAAATGAGCTTCGCACATTGTACCCATGTGGGGAATCGAACCCAGGTCTTCGGCGTGACGAGCGAATGCTTTAACCATTAGACTACCCCACCGCCCCACCATTGTTGGACACGGAGTGACAACCCAGATGGTGAAGACATATCAGGTGCAAGAATCAGGATTGGTTCGGGTGAAAACGTCCGTTGTGTCAGATGAAACAAATTGAGATACTCATTGCACACGTGTTCTGTGTATCTCCACATCAAGGGACCCGAATATCACTAAAACAATCGTCAAGTCGTCTAGAGATTCCATCTTGTATACTTTTTTTAAGTATTGCTAACAATATATGGTTAATTCGGTGTTGATCATATCCGTGTTGACACATGTATTAAAGACCCGTGCCTTTCTTTACTCTTGCCCTTTCGGCTGATATCACTGGAAACACTGGGTAGAGGTGTACCATATGTAGACTCTAACACGAGATCCTGTGGCATGTACTTTCTTAACTGGGTTTGATCAGCTTCAGAGCTTATATCATTGACCTCATATTGGTCATTATGACCACCTACAAATTGCGTTTTCGGTCGGAAGGAGCATTCGAGGAACACTAATAGATAGTAGCATAACAAACGTTATAGCATTAACCATTAATGTATTACTGCCACACCCCACGCAATCTACTTTATGCACCAGATTGAAGATGCTTAAGAACATTGTAAAGCTAAAAATCAATAGATTCAATTTTGTAAACAATTTTTGATTAATCAGTGAAAGTAAAATGAAAAACAAAAGCAACAAAACCCCTTTCAATGAATACAATAAAGGACTCTGATTTAAACAAAGTGACTTGTGCGATTCCGCCTGTATCATGACTTTACGAATCATTGTAATCAAGTAGTGATGATACGAGGTGTTCACGAAAAGGCGATTTTAGAAAGTTGGTTCTGACAGCACTTCGGACAGTATTTCAGATATCATACCCTGGTAGTTACATGTGGGCGAAACGTCAGAGATGATGTTGACTTTAAACGTTTGGCGAAAACTGTTGACGCGAGTATGGTGAAAGCAGTAATCAAAATAATTTGATTCAAAACACTTAAATTGTGACATTATCTTGACAAAGTGTGAAAGTCTAAAGTAGAAATCTATTGTGCCAGGAATGAATAAATTAGATCTTTCACATCTTGCACTCCACAAGCTTCTGGTTCCGCTGACCAATAATTTCTATGGATCATTGTTGTACACCGGACCAAATATCCAGTGCCAAACAGGCAATTATTCCTTTTGTGCTTATCTATTGAAGGACAGCTGAAATGAACTGTCTTACAAATTAGAAAGGAATATGATACACACCAATGACTGCTAGTCAATATCGAAACACCCAGTGAACATGAATGGCATCAGTTAATATTCCGCAGTTGGTCAATAAACATTCAAAACACGGCCTTTGTGTTTTTATCGTCAGACACACTTAACGATGTGTACATTAGTGGATGATGAGACACATATATGCTATTACAAGCCAAATGAAGATACATTCGATTCTACAAAACGTTATGGTTTAAAAAAGAAAGGAGTGTTTTAAAAAAGTGATTTTGCACATGATCTCCTTAATAACCACAGCAACGACCATAAACAAATTGAAGATCCCCACATAAATACCAAGTTTCCATCTCGTGAATCAATAGACTGCATTGGCGGAGGACAGTTCAGTGTGCGAACCTTGGTAGTTGTGTTGGCTGTCAAAGTCGAAAGGAATAGAGTTACCTTTTCTGAGCTGAGACAAGGAAATATGACTATTAGAAGCATTCACGCTTTGATATTTAGTTTATGTCATGTCCTCCCATCGAATTGTTTGGTGTGTACAGACCCAAGAGACTTACCACAGTTTACCGACAATGTGACAGCTACAAGTGAACCGTTTCGGACATTCAAGGGTATTGGTCCTCTGCAGTGTGTTAAGGAGTGCCTACTGAGGACACATTGTAGGAATATCTCCTACAACATCACGACTGCTACCTGTGCTCTTCACAAGTCCGATACTGTGATAACTGGAGGTGAAGGTGAGAGTGAATTATACAGTGACGTCACTTCCTGGCCTCAAAGGATGGCTGGTGAATGCGCTCATCACGACTGCCCCCTGAACACAATATGTCAGCCTCATGAAGATAAATACAGTTGTTATACACCTGAATGTCTACCTCCAGCTTCAGTAACAGATTCTGATCCATTGTTTGTTGAAAACAACTCTTTGACCTACCCAGTTGGCGAGGTAGTGGAGTACAGATGTCATGCTGGACATTTACCTGTTGGCAAACGTCAATGTCGTGAGGATGAAACCTGGTCACCTTTCATTTGTCGTAAAATACAAAGATGTGTTCAACTATCAACATGCAATTCCTCTTACACAGTTGATGAATACTGGCTATTTAAGGATGATGATGGGTATAGCAAAGTAAAGATGTATTGCATCAAGGGAACGAAGAATTGGACACAGTATGTGAGTTTGTTGGATAACTACACCTCGGTCATGGCAGGACCACCAGAAACATGTCATGTCCAGTATGACAGCGACACAGTTGTGTATGGAAAACAGACTTTATCAAAGATTGCTGCTAATGATAAGGAAATACGCCAATTTGCCCGCCGCATATTTCATGAAGGCGACACCAAATATCCACCTCTGGTCACTGGGGATTGCAGCATGGAGAAACAACTCTGTGATGTTGGCCCAAGTTTCTTCAAACTCAATCTCACCGGAACTGGACTCATTGTGGATGTTGTTGGAGACTGGGTTGTCTCAGGGGAAGGGTCCATCAACGTCACGATATCTGAGGACAGTCGCATCATAGAGGGAACTTGTAAGGGAAGATGTGTTTTGTGTTATCTGGAAGGGAATGTTAACCTTAAAGTAGATCCAGCTTATACTCCTCCCTTGGAGAGTGCCATCATGCCAGTCTGTGACCAGGACCTGTGATCCGTACACAGTAGCAATCTGATACTTTAACTGCTGAAAGTTATTGGGAATCATTCTGTCGGCGGAATCCCCAACTTTTTAAGTTAACTTGTCTGGATCTATGAAGTAGTAACATCATTGGCTTACGGTATGAGTTCCGCAAACTGTATGTTAGATTATTGGTGACAAGGGTGCGTGGTCCGAAACAAGCATATCGCTATGATCGTGGCATTTCTGTATTGCATGTATTGAGTTAGGTGAGGTGAGGTGAGGTGAAATTGGGTTTAACGTCGTGCTTGAGAATATTTAGCTCATATGACGACGTGCATGCGTGTGTATGTGTATGTGCGGCTGCTTGTACTAGCCCAGACTTAAGCTGGTTTTATAGTGCTAGCTCACTGAGATACCATGCCGCAGTGAAGCATGAATACCCCACTCAGACACATTGTACTGACTCCGAGCCGACAAGTCCTTGTTGTACCCATTAATGCCGAGCGCCAGGCAGGGACCAACAAGTACCATATTTTAACGTCTTTTGGTATGTTGCGGTCGGGGATCGAACCCGCGACCTTCCGCACTCCGGGCGGACGCTCTAACCACTACACCACGGAGGCGGTCTGCATGTATTGCGTTAGAATAGCCTGAGCGGAAATATCGTAGATCACACATTCATTACCCTTTGATCGTAAAAATATCATACAAACAAACAAACAAGAATATATATTAATATATATGCCATATGGGTGTATATAGGCGTTGCGATGCATTTTCCATGTGTATATATGCAGTTAATTATGGGATGTTTAGGTATTGTATACCACTGTAATTGATAAAAGGAACACATATTATGTTTAGGAACGCGCTTTTAGTTGTGACGTGCACTCATCTTGTGAACTGTAGGTGAGTGAGATTGTGGGAGTTATTGCTGCAAAATGGTGACCCCTGAAAAATAGATTTATGTTTTTAAATTGAAACTTGCTGACGTCAATTTCACATGACAGCGAAGCCCTATCATATGATCGTCAGGTGTTTGGCAAACCCGCCATCTGAGCGAGCGTTGTAAATGTATGGACATGCTGCTTACAGGCGAAATGTCTTAACATAAAAAATGGTTTGTTAATAGCTAGAATAATCTAGTATGGACCTATGGTATACACGATTACTATCTGCCTCACCTCAGGCAGAGTGTGTCACAACCTTTGTTTCAGCCATGATCTTTTTATCCAGCACTATCACTTTATAGGCTGCAGGATTATTTGCTTTCTAAGTAGGAAATGTCTGTGGTTCATTAATAGTGAGTGAGTGAGTTTACTTTTACGCCGCACTCAGCAATATTCCAGCTATATGGCGGCGGTCTGTAAATAATTGAGTCTGGACCAGACAATCCAGTGATCTACAGCAGGAACATCGATCTGCGCAATTGAGAACCGATGACATATGTCAACCAAGCCTACGAGTCTGACCACCCGATCCCGTTAGTCCCGTTCTACACACAACACAAACAGCTGAGCACCATACATGGGTTTGGATGTATTTCGAAATATTTGCGATTTTGGAATCATTACGACATATTTGTGATATATCTTGGCAAATTCTTTGGTTTATTTAATGAATAAAATTTGATAAAAGCATGTTGTTTGTCCTCATGGAGTTCAGCTTAACAGAGTCTTTAACGGTTTTCAACGAACAAATGAAAGAATGACAATTGTTGCAAAGTTACACTTCCGGATACTGTCTGGGATGTCTCAGAAAATGGTGTTTATAAACTTTGGAATATACAGCCCAAAACAATCTTGCCAACAAACCTGATCTTGTCCTCTTTGATAAAGCCATCGAATTAAAAACAATTTGGTCCCTTTTGACAGCAGTATGATTGGCAAGATTCAGGAAAAAACGTGATAAATATGCGGACTTCGCCTCTGAAATGTCTCGCTTGCGTACGCTGTCGTCAGACTCTCCATTGTTCTAGGTGGCCTTGGTTTGGCACCTCCAGATGAAGAGTATGTCCGGGTTCTCCACCAGGGGCACAGCCCTTCTGACACTTTTGGTTAGAGTTCTGCGCCCCTGACGAGAAGCTGAGAAAATTCGCTGTGGAGAAAAGAAGCCTGGTAATATAATATTTCCACTACCAACACACACATAAACTGCCTGAGATATCCAGTAAGCGTCCTAGCATAGATTAGCATTCATGATGATTGATATTTCGCTCTACAGAGCGAAGATTGGACGTTTCAAGCACCCGAGGGGTACGCGGCAGGTACTGAGGTAGACCAGGTTCACTACAGGTACACGCCATACACTGACAGCTCGGACATGCCCTATCGACTCACCATATGCTCGTTAGTGATATCGATACATCTGATTCTCTCCTTCTCGCTGATCAGGTACGGAGAACAGCTTGATACTTTACCCTTGCTCTCACCCATGTTGTCAACTGATCAATGTTTACACCTGCGTGATAGTTGTGACGTCACAAGCTCAACCACCTTGTTTAAACTACGACCTATCATGTTGGGATGTGCACTCCTACCAACAACTATACACCTAGCAGGCGATGTAGAACTGAACCCAGGGCCTATGAGTAGAGAATTGGAGGAAATACAAAGCAATATTTTCAAACGGATTCAGGATTCAGAGGATAGAGTTTGTGGAGAAATCAACTCAGTCAAAGAGGACATAAAATCTCTTAAGTCTGACATCACCTAAGGACTGACATTGACAACACTAAACAAGAACAGGATATACTTAGAGTTGATATAGATGCTCTGAATGACAGGGTCATAGATACAGACAACTACCTATGTGAGTTAGAGAAAAGGATAGAGGACCAGGAACAGAGGAGTAGAAGAAATAATATGGTGTTATATGGCATACCAGAGTCTTCAGCTAAAGAGACTTATACTGAGAGCAAGGCCAAGGTTCTGGAGGTACTTAACACTGCTAGAGAGGTTAAGAAGTTACCACCACTAACACCAAGAGACATAGAGAGGGCACACAGGATATCTACCTGGAAATCAGATTCTAATAGGCCTGTTATTGTGAGAATGTTGCATTAGGAGGACAAGTGGCATAGTGTAAAAATGAGGGATATTCTAAGAGAAAATGGAATTGGCATCGCTAATGACCTCACGGCTGCACAGAGACAAGATCTCTCTAGGAAGAGACGCGAACATCCGATAGAAGGTTCTTTTTTAAGGGGAGTAGATTGGTGGATGAACCAAGGGAGACGACACTGGAAAGAACAGTTCCGCCCAAGGTAACAACCAACAGTCACAACAACAGCAAAATGGACGACAACAACAGCAACAACAACACCAGTACAGGTCTGCACCTCGTCGTTCCTCCAGGACACAACATAGATAGGGTTTAGGCCAGGCCGGAAACATCAATAAACATTCCACAGCACATTATTATGAACATAATATTGATATACCTCAGGAAAATCCAAATACACCGGATCAAGACATTCACTTTATATTTTGGAATATATCAGGTATCATACATAAACTCTGTGAATATGACTTTATTAGATACCTGCACATTTTGATATAACAGGATTAACTGAGACGTGGGCGGATGGCTTAGACTTAGAACATGTATTCTCAGACTACTCTTCTATCTCCAAACATGCAGAACGAATTTCCAACTATGGCAGACTCTCTTGTGGAATATCTATTTTGATAAGGAAAGAATTTGAAAAGTTTGTAACTGCAAATGCTGTATTTATTATGCTTGATAAAAACCTGTTTGGTTTAGATCATGATTTTTTATATGCATGTGCCTATGTTCACCCAGAATCATCTACCTGGTACAACAAGCCATCATTATATTGTAAAATGGTATCAGTATGTTTCAAGATAGCCTCCTAGAAATACTAAATGTTGTCCATGAAGATATTTTTATCTTATGCGGTGGAGACTTCAATGCACAAACAGGAACCGATGCAGATTTTGTTGAAGATGATTTACTTGAACAAGTTGAAAATCAAAATGTTCCACTATTAGATTCTATATGTGACAATTTTAATCTACTACGTTACTCTACCAATAAGAAAATAAACTTTGGTAGATATTTCCTTGACCTCTGCGCTGTACTTAACATTCACATAATGAACGGGCAATGTGGTTCCGACTCTAAGATTGGAGATTTTACTTACATTGGTATTAACGGTGCAAGTGTGGTAGACTACATTATCTCCTCTGCGTGAATGTTTGATTATGTAACTGACTTTGCGATACCATCTCGAACAGGGTCAGCACATCTCCCGGTCACTATGAAATTACGTGCGCTTCATGTTAGAGAATCATGTACATGTACACATAACAACAAATATAATAATGCTTTCAAATTTATTTGGGATCATGACAAACTTGAATATTTTAGACAAAAGATTTTATCAGATTCTGTTCAAAATCTCTTAGACAAATCAGTCGATAGTGCGTTTACATGTATTGATACCAGCATTGAATTTCTTGTAGACGCCCTTTGTCTAGCAGCATCAGATATGAAAAGAAAGTGTGGAAATATGAAAACTAATTTTAATGATTGGTATGATAATGAATGTAGAAAACTTAAAACTGAACGCTGCAAATCACTGAACAAGTTTAGAAAACGTAAAGATATATCCTCATTGGAACAATATTATCTATCAAGAAATAAACGCACTGCATATTATAAAGAGAAACATAATAAAATAGACAATAACAATAATGACTCCAAAAGATTTTGGTACGAATTGAAATATTTAAATAGAAAGAGAGTGCCAAAAAGCAATATCCAAACACAAGAGTGGTTTCACCACTTTAAAACATTGTTTTCTGATGCAAATGTAGATATTGAGAGAAATACTGAAAGTGATGAACATGACTTTTTGTTAAATGATTACCCAAACAGTGACCTTAAAATAGAAATTCTTGACTCTCCAATATCCATAGAAGAGATCTTAGATAGCATAAACAACCTTAAACTCAACAAATCCCCAGGAATAGATAATTTAATTCCAGAATTTTTCAAGTACTATGCTGATCTTCTACTACCTTATCTTGAGTTAGTTTTCAATCTGTTATTAGAAAGAGGGACATTTCCTACCTCCTGGTCTGTTGGGATAATAGTTTCTTTACACAAGCAAGGTAATTTGAACAATGTTGACAACTACAGGGGAATCACACTGTTAAGCATATTCAGTAAAGTTTCCACCTCAATCATCAACCAAAGATAATTTTTTGGGGGTGAAACAATGAATAAATTAAATGAATCTCAGGCTGGATTTAGACAGGGATATACAACAATTGATAACATGTTTATATTACAGAGTGTGATACAAAGATATTTGAATACTCAATGTGGCAGGTTATATGCATTGTTTGTTGACTGTTCAAAAACTTTTGATTCTGTGCAAAGACATACGATATGGGGACTATGTAACACAAATGGACTCAGCCTCAAAAAATGACCAATCTATTACGTAACATGTATGGGAATGTTAAAGCTTGTGTCAGGAATAACACTGTACTCTCTGAACTTTTGATGTACTTATTGGAGTTAGGCAAGGTTATGTACTCAGTGCTTGTTTGTTTTCCTTCTTCATAAATGAACTAGCAGTACAGATTGAAAATAATTGCTCACATGGTATACAGTTGCATCCCGATATGTTTCATCTTTTCCTTTTATTATTTGCAGATGATAT